GTGCTCATTTTAACAGACGCAAAATTCAATTTCCTACAGATCCAAGATGAAAACGGCATCGTTGTTTGTCAGTATTTGTTTCCGTAACACATTAACAAAACGTTTAATGACACTAACACTAAAAACAATACAATTACTAAATAGTATTAATAATAATATCACTAAAATAGTATTATAGTTACCGTTATCATCGTCGTCTCTGAGCGAACGCGGCGTTAATGCAGATGCCGAAAGCAGTCCGTTTTTACTTTCACTTTCAGAGATTGAGCTGATTCTTAACCTGATTATGTTGAATAAACTTGACAATGCATGTGGTCATGTAAACGTTTCCTTTATCAGAGTCAAGTCATAAGTATAAGTATAAACCGATCGACTCAGCTAGACGTTTGGCCCTTGCTCTTGTTTCTCCCGGCATTTAAAACACATTAACCTGCGTACTTCGTGCTTACTGAAGTGCGCATGTGAAGTGCGCAGAGAGCTAAAAGTGTTAAAAGTATTAGTACATGATGGTGTTAAAAGTATTAGTACATGACCATAAAGTAAATTATCTTTGTTTTCTCAATTTTTCAACTGTGTTTTAAGGGTATTATTGAGCTTTGTGCACTTTCAAGTGCATGCAGGGACAGGTAGCGATTTACATGCTGGACAGATAAACAAGATGTGTAATGTTATACAGTCATACAGTCAAACACAGTCTAATGTGACAGTTTAAGTTGTATACATGTCTTAATGTACTAATTAGTCAGCAGAAGGATTATCCAGTATTTCATTTTGATGAAGCTATTTTGGAAAATTTGATTCTTCGTTAATGCATCTAGAAGATTTATGAAAATAGGCTATTATTGCCAAAATCATTTCGTGTAACCAGACCAATAATTAGCCTACATTGTCTTCAATTGCCCATCCTTTGGGTATTTAGAGCTTTAACTGTTATTTAAATGTGATACTGAATGTTAGTATTCTGAATTAAGAAGTGACTGAGTCTGTCATGTCTCCGGTCTGATTCGCCTGTTTTCTTTATGTGCGTTGTCTGCGTGGCTGTTGTCTCGGGGCGCATGGCTTTGTTTTGACAGTTCGCCATGTGCTCCGCTGTCGTGGTTGATTTGTTTCCCCACTTTCTCGTTTGTCAATGCTCTGTCCCCGCACCTGTCATTAATTACCACCCCCTCTCAATCATCGTCAGTGCTCTGCTCCGCACCTGTTATTGATTACCTTCCTTGTTTATTTTCCTGGATTTCTTGTGTTTAATTTTTTTGTTTTGTTTATCTATTACAATTTTTGGCTTGTTATTCAGTCAATAAACTTTAGTTTGAGACTGCAACTGAATCCTGTCTCGACTCCTGATAAGAGTCATCAGCATAGAAGGTTAGAAGTCTCGTCCACACTGCTGGCCAATGGAGTTCGACGTCCGCACCTGGCGGCCATCTTGTCACAGGCAGCTCGCTCACTCGTGTTTTAATGTTGCATGTACTTTTGAAATAACCATAACTTGCTCAATTTCTACTGATTTTCAAACGGTTTGGTTCGTTATAAACGTCAGAGATGTAGTTATGACACTGCACACTTATGAATAATTATGTATTATTTATGTAAATATCCAGTATTATAGCCACATTAATAACGTTTAGTAAGAAACCAAACCGTTTGTAAATCTGCCAAGATTTCAGTGAGATAAGAGTATTTGTGTTCTCACGTTACATAGGGAACCACAGAGCCTGCCAAAAAACTTGCCTGTGACAAGATGGCCGCCGGCCGGTGATGACGATAGAGATTCCTCCGCATAAGACATCTACCCTTTATTATGGATATCTATGGTCATCAGAGTGAATATGTACACAAGAAGCGCTAGTCTCCTCAATCTTTGTGTCCTGACCAGTAGAAGTGCTTACAAGAAGAACTGGAGCCTAGCGGGATCCTATCCTCTCCAACATGTGTATGTGTACAATAGGAAAATAAGAGGCCTTTAAGCTCACTAGCAACCAATTAACAAACTAGAAACTGATGGCAACAATCAAAGATCTAGGAAATGAATAACAAAGACCTGAAATGACAACTACAATCACTACGAGAACTACAAAAACTACAGGACCCAAACCCAAAACATCCCCAGGTCCCTTCATTGTGAGTCTAAAGCATGTGATTCATCTTTACTCATTTCCCGAAGGCAATTTGGTTGCAGCAGGACAGGCATACACACTCTGTTGTAATGAGATCTGCTTTGTCAACTGAACCCAACTGCATCTTTAGCCTTATTTTTTTCTTGAAAGTTGAAAAAAGTACATTTATTTTTACTGTATAGTCTTAATCGTCCTTTAGTGGTGGAAAGATGATGACAAAACCTATAGATGTACCATGTCAGGTTATAAAAATAGCTAAAAAAAAAATACTTAGTAGTTTAAAATTCTCACTTTGTGTAAACATTATTACATTTCAAAACCGCAGATTGTGATGACAGACAGATTGTGAAAAAATATTTATTCTGGGCAGATTACTTATGTTTTCCACCAGGTGGGGCTCGAAGACTGAGAAAATATCATCCACTGAGCCGTCTTCAAAGTGAAGTTAGGTCGTGAAGGTCAATCCTCCAGTTTCACAGACGAAGCATTAAAGGAGTAGTAAAACTTTTGCTGATAATTTACTCACCCCCATATCATCTAAGATGTCCATGTCCAAAAGAAATTAATGTTTTTGATGAAAACATTACAGGATTTTTCTCCATAAAATGGACTTCAATGGACCCCAACCATTTCAAGGTCCAAATGAGAGTTTCAGTGCAGCTTCAAATGTCTTTAAACGACACCAGACGAAGAATAAGGGTTTTATCCAGAGAAACCATCGCTCATTTCAAAAATAAGTAAAAAAGTTGAAGTTTTATAAGCACAAATGCTCGACTTGCTCTGTTCTGTGATGCGCGTTCGTGACTCTCCTGTTCGAACTGGTTTGAGCTGTCTTAACTGAGACAAGATACACAGCTGTAATGTTTTTATTTTAAAGCATACTTATAAAATCTACTTAAATGTCCTAATTTAACTAAGGGCTAATCCTGGCTTAATTTAAGACCTGTTAGTGAAACCAGGCCTATATTTTACTGAAAATATAAGAGATTATCACAACATAGCACCAAACCGGTTTATGAACCAGCCCAAAGGAAATAATGCTAAAGTAAACATATTATGTGAAGAAGCAAAGTGTGTATGTAGTAAATAATGATAGGCAGTGAAGGCATTGCTAACATATTTGTTGTTGTATCAGTAATCCTCCCCATTCTAATAATAGAGCAATATTCTCCCCGAAACAGCGTTTCTTCAGGAATGAGTAAAGCACAAGTCTTTGGCATAAAGGAGAAACTGATTCGAGTACCAACACTTCTTTTAAAGCTCATCTGAGAACTATAAAATCTCAGAAAGGAGGAAGCTAAAGATGACATTTACATTAACCTGTGTGGTGCACCAGTATATTGTATTTAATAATTGAGGATAGTTTTTTTAATGTCCAAATCCATAACTAACATTATACTGTAACAGTGTCTTAGGATCACAAGATGGCAGGATTGCACTTTCTTTGTGGAAATAAAGTCAGTTAGCAAACTGTGACATTTATCTGGTTTGATTGACCTTTTAAATTGTGTTCTTTTAAGACCATAATTATTGTTTTGCAAACTACCATTCAAAAGCGCAGGTTTAGATTTTTTTTTTTTTTTTTATCAAAGGAGTAGTTCACTTTAAAAAAAAAAAAAAACTTTTGCTGATAATTTACTCACCCCCATGTCATTCAAGATGTCCACGTCATTCTTTCTTCAGTCGAAAAGAAATTAAGGTTTTTGATGAAGACATTCCAGCATTTTTCTCCATATAATGGACTTCAATGGGGTCCAAACGGTTCAAGGTCCAAATGAGAGTTTCAGTGCAGCTTCGAAGGGCTTTAAACGACACCAGACGATGAATAAGGGTCTAATCTAGCGAACAAATAAATAAAAAAGTTTAAGTTTTATAAGCACAAATTTCAATATTGACAATATCAGAAATGTTTCTTGAGCATCAAATCATCATATTAGAGTGATTTCTGAAGGATCATGTGACACTGAAGACTAATGAGTAATGATGCTGAATATCCAGCTTTGATCACAGGAATAAATTACATTACAATATATTGCAAAATATAATATAATACATAAGCAACTAACTTTTGAAAGATATAAAACCATTTAATAAGCTAATCATTGTATTTCTAAATGACCTCATATAAGCCCTTAAGCAAGACCCTCACAGAGAAAACAAGCACAACTCCATGTCCATTTAAACAATGTGCTTATTCATCGGTTCACGGGCTATGAGAAAGCACAGGCGATCTCAAGAGTATCTGCGATTTGCTGATAACATTAATACGTTTGAAGACAGAATCCCTCACTGACTGCACAAGGCTATCTAATTGGCAATTAAAGCAACCCGAGACACTTGTCTCTAACGTGTCGAGGTTTAAAGGAACACATAAAACAGATGAAGGATTCTCGCTCTTGGCAAGTAAGCACTTTCTTTTATGAGCCGAGTGATTAGGGATTCAGTTCACCTGCGGTCTCACAATCGAAGGAAAAAACGACCGCAGAGATTCCCAGCAGAACTGCAGGCTCAGCGCTCGACCTGCTCCTGCAAATCAAATATGTGGCCATTATCACCGTGGGAGAATCCGTCTCTAATCAAATAACCAGTAATTCTGGTACACGCCGGCCCGTGTTGTTTTGTTTGCGGTGCTTAAAATGCAAGCAGGATTTCAAGCGGAGTAATCTGAGGGTCTGTGCTTGGCACAAGAGACGGATCCGGCACGCCAAGGTCTGAGTGCCGTCAGGAAAAAAGGCCTGGCTGCCTTGGAAACAGAATAAGGCGACCCAAAGGAGGAAAGCACTCAAGAAGGGGGCGGGAAACAGAGGGAAAAAAGGTGGAGTGTTGTATGGAGAGAGAGAGAGGCAGAGTGAAAACACACTGGATTCAAGAGAAAGAGTCAAAGTGAGAGACATCTGGGGGGTGGGAATGAAGTGGTGAATGAGGCAGAGAAAGTCTGAGGAGCACCACTGCTCGCCTCGTTCATTCACAAAACAAACGCAGGAAGGCGTTAGAGGAAGCTGGAGGAGAGAGAGAGAGAGAGAGAGAGAGAGATCCGCATAACAGGAGGCAGTGCAGCAACAGAGCATGCGAGTCCCCCGAGAAGAAGGTTAACCGCAAACGCAGAGATCCTCACAGATGCCACAGACTCACACACCCTTGAGTGGAAACCAGAGGGCTCCTGGCACAGGGGGTCCCGACAGATGCGGCGGTCCCCGCGCAGGGCCCTGGGCTCGGCCCTCAGGTGGCTGGGGGTGAAGGTGTGCCGCAGGAGCGCGCTGTTGCTCGTCCTCGTGTGGCTGGCATCCTGGCTCTTCCTCAACGGCCTGGTGTTCGTGCACAGGAACATGTTCTCAGACTTCTGCACTGACGACAAGAGCAAAGAGATCCTGCGGAGGGTGGTAAGCCTAACTTTTGTGATCGCTCATTTACACATTTGATCAGAAAGGCTCTTGAGCTGCATGTTGCTCACTCACTCGTCGGTCTTGGCAAACTTGACAAAAGAGCAACAAGAAGTAGAGAAACACCACTGGTGAAAACTCTGAACTAATGGATATATCTTAGAAGAAAAGGTTCTGTACAGTACATATTTGTATCAGCGCTATACATATTTGGAACCCCTAAAAGGTTCTATACACTCTTAAAAAGGGTTCCTCTGGGTACCCTGGGGTTCCATACTTGGCCAATGGAACCTTTTACCAAAAAAAAATGGTTCTATAGAACCATTTTGGAGTTCCATATATGAAGCGGGGGATGGAACCATTTCTGGTTCTAAATAGAACCATTTCTTCTAAGAGTGTACTTACTTCCCCAATTCAAGTTGAGTTTTCGGAAATTGCCAATTGCCTATCTAAATAAATATGCACCAATTTGCTTACATGTATTGTCCATCTTAACATTGGATAAAGCCGGTTTCAAAAGTCTTACTTTTGGTATATGTAGCCCTCAAACCGTATTCACTTTATAGCCCTTAATCCTGTAATTGTGGACACACAGAGGACTCAGGTGTGAACATTTATTATAAATGTTATATCACTGTCTTCGATAAAGTTTTTTCTATCCATTTATGTTTTTTTTATTATTTTGGGGGTATTTTTGATTTTATTTACTTCAAAAAGTACCATATTTTCTATTTTCTTATTTTTATGTTTTATTTTTTTAATTACATTAAAATATCATTCCAAAAAGTTCTTAGAGCTAAAACCTAAACATGAAGTGACTTTGCTGTCAACTGGCTTATTTTAGAAAGCTTTAAATTACAGTTTTTCCCATTCATTTCTATGGGTGCCCATTTTTGACCCAAATACAAGATTAAGGAGTTTGTTTTCGTCCACTTAACATTGTAGAATTGAGTGTGTTCAAGAGGCAAACTTAAGAAGCCAAGTCGTGTACCGCTCAGATCAAGGGAAGTATTTTTTAAAAATAAATCAAAACTATTTGGCCCACATTTGTCCAGAATACAGTTTTAGGGTTAAGTTTCTGAGAAAAAACAACATTTTCACCATTAAATTGTTTTATAAAATCAGGCAAACGATGAACTTTTTTTTTTTTTTTTTTTAAACTTCAAAATATAGATAGAAATGAAACTACAGTTATATGTCAGTGCTGCTGGAGGGGCCATTAAAATATGTATTGCCATTGAAATTGACACATAGTTAAAGAAAGTTCAATAAAATAAACACTTAACAACACTAGTCTGAAGATGCTGCTCAATACTGGTTTTAAAATGCACTACAGTACTTTTACAACAGATTAATCAGCTAGTTTTTGAAAGCGCTATTAAACAGAAGAAAAGATCTGTCAGCAACATTAGTTATCGCAGTTGTAGTGATACCTCTGGGGATTTCAATGAAGTTTCCACCAAATGAAACACAACGTGTTTTATAGGATTACTCAGTCAAGCATTGAATCATGGGTACCAGCAGTAACGGACCTCCATTAAAGGCTTAAGCTTTGTTCCTCGGAGGGAAACCTAAAGCTCTTTTAGAGCCATGGATTATGCGATGTCAAGTGAGTGCTGAAAGAACATTTTGTTTGTTGCCACATCGGGAACCACAAAGTCCTGTTAGCCTTCAAACTGGGATTGGAAGATGATTGCTGAATAACTAGTAGAAAAGTTTTTGCACGCATACTATCATTACTAAAACTAAATGCATTAGCATGAGCAGATTTGAAAATGCATGCAATAATTTGAATGATCAGAATGCATAAATAATAATAACTGAAATAGAACATCCACTTAAGTTATAATAATACCATTTTGGTTTGAAGTAACACCGACTGATGCAATCATTTGAACTATAACATGAATGTGAAATATACCGAATGAATATTTGGGCAGGCTGCGGTAAATATCCCACAGGGTTCGACGGCTGCAAGCCAATGGAGTGCTGCCGTGTGCCAATATTGTGCAAATGATGACTGGGTGGAGACACTATATCTGTCATTTTGGCAATGAGGATAAAGTGAAATAACAGACTGGTTGATGTAATTGTTGGGTCTTAGTCAATCTGAAACTCCCAAGGATGTTTAGTGAGGAATATTATGGTTCAGGTTCCAGAGTGCAAGGTTTTCGACAATGGGATTATTCTAAAGTGTCTATTTTATTATGAAATTATTTTGTTTTGTGTTAGTAGTCTTTAAATAGATTATTAACACGCTCTTTTCAAACGCATTTGCCGAAAGCTATGAACGGTTTTGCTGTGAATAACGCTTATGGCTAAAGCGTGCACGATCACAATTTAAAAGTGCATACAAATGATTTCATATCATTTAAATATATATCATAATCTGATTATTTGTATTACTCAATAATATTGCCAAAAAAAGTGTTTATTTGTGCAAATTTTTTGGGTTACACTTTATTTCGATAGTGTACTTTAGACATTCTACTAATTTTAAGTAATTTTGCAACTAGGATAGGGTCGGGTTGTGAGTTGACTTGTAGTTGCAAAGTTATTTGTCAGTAGAATATCTGTTGTGGAGCATCAGAATAAAGCGTTATTAGATATTAATCAGACAGTCGACTAATACTCTAATGACTGCTAAAGTTTACATGGTTGGAAAGATACTCATAGTTAAGTGGATCATCTAAAGAAGTCTAACGGCTCGCACATTAATTCTGGATTCATTTCCGTGGATTAACATGTAAAAAAAAAAAAAAAAGATTTGGGATGCCAATTTTGTTTTTGTTTTTCACACTTATTAATTTAGCAATGCTTTTACAAAATGAGAATTACACACACTTTTAAATTTTGATTTGATTATCGGGTTCTCTGTCTAATTGTCCACTGAACTGTCTTTCTCGGTTCAAAAGCTTAGTGACCGTCCTCTCATCTGCCACATTAGATGCTAGTTTGGAAATGTCCTTTCATAATCAAAATTCTTTCATAAATTGTCACAGCGCTTTCTTATGACAACACACTTTGTCTTAGCTTACCCTCATTGTAAATAAATATCACTATTTCTGGTTTTTGTAACGACTGAAAGGTGTAAATTCCTCATTTCAGATCTCAGGTCACATTAATGGAGACCAAATTAAGCAACTTTTCGTGACCAAGCAACTCCCCACACTGTAAAAATGAATATGCGTTATCTAATCAATAAAATTGTGGCAACAGATTACAAGCAATATTATTAATTAAATTAAAAATTTGAATTGAGTAATAATTATTAAAATTATTCCTTAAAAGTTAACCATTTAAAATGAGTAAAGTTTGCACCAAAAAAATTAAACAACAATATCTGAATAACAGACAGAAGTCAAATATTTAAAAAAAATATATTTTATGATTTATAATTTGTAAATAATTTATTTATAATATATATATAATTTTATACTCTTTATTTTATATTGCCAACATTGAAGACACCTGATGTTAACAAGGAGAAAACCGTCATTCATTTTAGAACAAACCAAACACTGATCACCATAATGGTGACTTAAATGTACGTTTTTGTAAGTTTTACTCATTTTAAATGGTTTACTTTTAAGGAATTAATTTGAATAATTATTACTCAATTCTAATTTGTTAAATTGAATTAATAATATTGCTTGTAATTTGTTGCCCCAATTTTTTTGATTATATAAAGCGCATTAATTTTTACCGTGCATTATTGCTTTATTTGTTACAGAACATCTCCAAAACACTAAAGCCTGTTTCTCAGTTGATGGATTGTAAAAAAACATTTTGATGATCTGCCAAACAGTGAGCTTTTCTAAGGGGCTCAACATTGCAATAAACAACTGAGAGTGGTGCGCATTCACACAATAAACTGTTTATGGTTTCTGGCAGCTTGAGAATCTTTGGGCGATTAGACTTTGAACTACACGAGACCTTTTTTAATCAGCGGTACCATCTGTCACCTGTGCAACCAGGCTATGTGTAATAGAACTGCTGGCATGAGTTTATGAAACGTAACCGTTGTTTTAGTGGCTTTGTTTCTACTCTTTTGAAGGTTAAGCACAGATGGTCTTGCATGCACGGTCCACTGACTTGATGGACCTTCATGCAAAGATTTAAATTTCCCCCCTGGGATTAATAAAGTAAAGTAAAAAAAAAAAAAAAAAAAAAAAGATCATTGTTTTTCTTGCAGGTTTAATACTACAAATGTATAATTTGAACAAGATCAGTTTGAATGGATGTTAGATGTTGGAGAGACAAATATAATGCACATCAAATATTTCAGTGGCCACAAAAGCCACAAAATATAAACGTCTTTGCACCAAATAACACAATATCAAAAGCATTTAATTTAAAGAAGCCTCTTTTATCCTATTTTGTAATCAAATATACAATGATCAACGCTGAATTTTTCCTTCAGATGCAGTCTTCACATCATTCTGCTCAAAAACATTTATGATTATTATCAATGTTGAAATCAGTTTCATATTTCATCCTTTAAATATAAAGTTCAAAAGAACCGCTTTTATTTGAAATCCAAACAATTATAAAATGTCTTTACTGACATTTTTTGATCAATTTAATGCATCCTTGCTGAAAAAAATGACTAATTTCTTTAAAAAAAGGTGAAACATGACTTTATACATCCACTAACTATAAAAAAAACATCACCAGAACACCAATTGATTAAAATTCTTTACAAAAACGGTTCAGAAAAAAATCGTTTTACAAGAGAGATTAATTGAGTATCATGTGTTTGCAGATGCCAGTTGATTTGATATTTGATATTTTATATAACACAATAGCATGTGTTTTGAAATATAGGGCCACTGTGTGTGTTAGAGCTGCACAATTCTGGATAAAATGATTATCACTCAATTTTGATTAGACAGCTAAACAAGAGAACGTCATTTACTGGAGGTTCTGACTAAATCTTAATCACTGCAGTTTGTTAATTAATTAATAATATCTCATTTGAATGATTTTTTTTAATGGGG